AGAAAAACTAAAATCTGAACATCTTCATAACAAACAGCCAGAGAGAGATAAAATTTGTGCCAGACAAGCTTCTTTCCTTAAATCAACAGAATTCTCCTCAAAAAGCACTTTAAACGTAGATCTACTACTCTGGTTAGTTTCTCAAAGATAACCAGTCTCGCATTTGTCTTACATTTTCAGGCAAAGTAATTAAAAACAGATATCTGCATGTAAAAAACAAAAAACAAAACAAAACAAAACAAAGAAAAATAGTAGGGGCAGCATCGTTTGCCAGCATTGGTCACAGTTGGCAATGCAAAACATACACAAATTCATGGTTTATTTAAGGTAGAGAGCCAAGCCATCAAAGGTGTCAGGTCCAGACTACTATTTTTACCTTCCTCTAGATTTAAAGGTAACGTCAGCCTCATCAACTCAGCAGGGGAGGAGGTAATTGGGTTACATCATTAGAGTAGAGAGCAAATGGACTCTTCCGTTCCCGTCAAAACACAGTAAGCCTCTCCTCTTAGGCTAAAAGGTCAAGGGCCTAATCTCTGACTACAGCTCTCTTAATGGTCTGACGTATCGTCCTAAAGCTAAGCTAGCGTTAGCCTTCAAACAAGCATATTCTGATCCAAAAATCCAATTTTGTTAGACAGCAGCAGTTTGATACAGTTTTCTGCTTTGGAAAATGTTTTTATATTAAAGGATGCAGCACCATGCCTTCTCTGGGCAGCAGTATTGTAAATGAGATCTATATCTGCGGGCTGAAGGTCTGTCTGGCTCCACTCGGCCATTGTGCTTGCAGGATACATCAGAATGAATCCCTGGTATCGACCTGATCAAGCTCTCTCCTTCGAGACACCCAAAAAGGTCAGTCTGAGGCAAAACGAACACCAGAGGAGGACACAGATCTGAGCTGAGATTAAAAGATTTACAATCTGTAAAATGATCAGGATTTGATCCTAAAATTGTTCAACTGTTGCTTAAAGAAAACCTGTTTCCATTTAAGGCTTATTTTTAGTAAACATGACTGTATGTGTACGTTTATGATCCCCTATGTAAAAACAAATGAGGAGAACTGACAAATGTAGGCCAGCCATCCGTGTAAGTGAACAGAGACAACAGCAACATGAGTCTGTGATGATAAATAAAAGCGATGGCTAAAACAGATATGGATTTGTGTAAATAGCTCCTATGACAGGGCAGCTTTGAAGTTGGCAACTGAATTTGATGCAAATAGATAACTAGGCTTTATAGCTGCTTTACATCTTTGTCAGCCTGTGCATTGTGAGGTGAAAGCTCACCATAACAGAAGTGTTTACTGTACAAACCAGCCGAAGAGAACATGGTCATGTTCACTCAACACATCCTCTATGAGAATGTGGTAGCTACTGTTATCTGCAAAGTTAAAGTACTTTAAACTTCACTTCATTGCATTTCATAATCATTTTTAATATTTCCATATTCCCACAAAGTTACTGGGTGAATGAATTAGAATTTAAGTTTAACAGGCAAAAAACTAATTATTTAGGATTTGCAAACATCCACACTCAGACATTTTGTTTTAAGAAACGTGCTACAAAAAAATTAATTTAAAAATGTATACCTTAAAAGTATTATATACATTCCCTAAACTCAAACACATCCTCATGCCTTTATTAAACAAAAAGATTTATTTAGGAACAAATATAATTTAGCAGTCAGCTGCTAAAAGTAAAACACTCAGCAGACAGACAAATATCCTTAATCACGAAAAAGATATATCCGTTTTATTTTAACCTTTACATGATAAGGTTGAGCTGTAGAAAAAAATGAAAATATTTCAGTTTTAAAATGTTGGACCTAAATGCTATGAATATGGCTGAATATATAACTTGTTCTCTAATGTCACTTTCCCGTTTTTTTTGTTTTATTTTTACGTCCAGACATAAAATTTTAACTAAAGAAAAGAAATTAAAGTCTACTAGAAATAGAGATGTCCTGATCAGATGTTAAATGTATAGAGGATGATCTTTTATTTCCTGGCTGGATCATCTAAATAAATTGTTCCCCCTAATTGTCAATGATTCTGGTGGTTTATGTAAGGCCGTCCTACGTGCTCGTCCCTTTTGGGTATCTTTTTAGGCTTGTATATGTGGTGAGCTACGGTTTCAGTAAGTAAGTCATTGAAGCTTACTTTTCTCAGCGTGGTTCTCTGAAAATAGCTGAGGGTCGTAAGAGAAAAAGAGTCTACGAAGTGTACGAGAAGAAAAGAAAGGCCTCAGAAGAGGAAAATATGCCGGAATGCTTTGTGCAGAGAGCTCTCCTCGCAAAGCATTATGGGATTTGCTGTCACAGCGGCCTGCTGTCGGGTACTAATAACAAAGATGGCGCAGGTGGAGGAGGAGTTACATGACCAACGGAAGAAAAAGCAGTGATGATCTGTCCGAACGGCAAGTTAACTGAGTAAAGTCCACTATATAGTCCCCTCTTTATATAAGAACACAGTAAGCCTGTATGAGCTATGAGAACAGCAACTTTTAAAAAGTTGGAGAGGCGGGTCTATTATATTTTTGAAAATACTACATCATATATTTAAATACTGAATATTTTAAAACCTCCAACAAGTTATTTTGCTCCGTTTTTATTTCAAGCCAACTCTCTCTAGTTTCGTTCTCCTTGTTTAGATAAAAAAAAACCCAGAGCGTGATGCTGCCACCACCGTTTCTCACAGGATGGATAGTGTTTGGGTTTTTCTTTAAAGTGGAGAAGGCAGGTCTTTAAAAAAATGCGCTAAAATCCTCCACAATATTGTTAATACCGGATATCGGTCCGATATTAGCCAAAAAAGCTAAAGTCGGATGTTATTGGCCGGCATCTAAAATCTGATATTTTCATGCCGATGGAAACATTAAATATCTGTTACTCATTGGATAATTTTACATGGGTTAGTTGTTGTCATACCTTTTGTTGTTGACTTTCGTTCCCTGTTTTAGTAAGATTACTTGATCAAGCCTTTTTCTAACATTCTAAACAATAAAATAAGTAATAAAAGGTATGATTCATGGCAATATCAGTTTTCCATTGTCATTACTTATTTTTATCAATAATCATTCTGCAAAAAAATTATATTTACAAGTAAAAATCTCTACATAAATTGATTATTTAATAAGTTTTTATTAAAATAGTTATTTATCTATGATTTCACTGAAGACTCCTAGATGACTTGCAGAGACAATTTTCTCCTTACCCCATATAACACATAATCTAGTTCTGAAAAGAGCATGAATTATGTACTTATCTTTAATTTCATCATATTTATGTGCATAATTAACCACAGTATCTTTGTTGTCAAGTAAATGTTAAGAAAAATTAAAATGGTTTGAATATTCTACTTGAGAGTACTACTGCAGGGCGTACCCTGTACGATTTTCCAGTTGTGCAAGAATTTTTCGATCGGGACAACTTTCAGCCTAATCATGCATTGTGTAGTGTACAGGGGGTAACGAGGGGGATCTGCCTCTCACGACCACCTCCCGATCCGGAATCGTCTGGAGAAAATTAAACATGTTTGATTTTCTCCCGACCGCCGTGGGCAAATCGCTCAGTGTGAATGCGCAAACAAGGATTCTTCTTTTTCTTCTTCCTCTCAGATGTGAACACAGAAGTAATAAGTGAAATAGAGTTCTTTCTGTAAAATTAACAGGCCGTAGTAGCCACGTCTCCTCAGCCATGTCTTTGTCCAAATATGTCGTAGCCTTTTCTTCTTATGGCTTTCAGATCACAAAATTGCACAAATTGCCAAGGCAGCGTGTTTCACTCTAGACAGCTTAATATTCCTCTTCTATTTGTTTGGCTTCCGGATACACGAGTCAGAGCAGCTCCATCTCACTGCGGAGCCGAGTACGACGTGGTCTTTAGACGTTCAGTGTGAGCAGGTAGATCACATTAGAGCATCGAGGTGAAATTTAATCGTGAGCTGTGAACTAAAACTGTACGACGAAACCCTGCGGTTTAAGGCACTAGGTCGTCTGTGTAGGTGTTGCGATGAACGCAGAGATGTCTCTGCCCCTTCTGCAGACACTCTACTGCACCTCTCCCGAATTGTGGGTGATCGCAGACAGTGCCGCAGACAGGAGGGCGGCTTGTTCTGTTTTTATGACTGCAATTGTGGAAACCAGCTAGAGGAGCGAGGTGTGTGAGAACACTGGGACCCTTTTTCCACCTGGATCCCCGCTCTTTTTCGCCGTCATGTACCTCCGTTGTTGGACAAACTTGTCCCCACTACCTCTCCGCCTCGGTCGTATCTAGACCCACAGCGTGAAGCGCAGACTACCCTTAAAATTGAGCATAAATCAAAAATGTCTGGTCAACCTAACAGCGACACACTGCTGCGGGGAGTATAACCAGCCCTTTAGTCGTACAGTGTGAGCAGTAGCTGCGTGCAACGATTTAAAAAATAATTGCACAGTGTACCCCAGGGTTTAGAGGGAAGAAGTGGTAGGGGTGGCCACAAGGGTGGCCAACAATTGACATAAGGTGGTCATGGCCACCCCTGGCCCCCCATCTAGCTCCACCCCTGAGTAAGGGGGTTCTTCTTTACAGGCAATAGAAACACATAATTAGCTCTAAAACATATTAACTTTAAAACCAAAAGAAATAAAGTGCACAACAAGTTCACCAAACACACTTATAAAAAAAAAAAAAAAAAAAAAAAAAAAAAAAAAAAAAAAAATCAAAGCAAACTTAAAAGACACATTAGAACACCTGGAGTCGCCCTTAAACTGTCCCCGGGTTTAAAGTCTTCAAAATTAAACTCCTGTAGGTTAGCGTGAAATAAAGGTGGCTCATTGCTGTCTTAAATAATGCGTTTATTCGCCATTTAAAAGAGAATGAAGTTATTGTTTTTAAGGCATTTTCAGCTAACATGCTAACGTTAGCTTATGTGGATCCCACCTCAGCATCTAGCGGCACAGTTAGCCTGCCAGGCGGTCAGCTAGCCTTCCTATCTGAGCATTAAATTAACTTTGCTTTTTTACCTTGCGTCGCTGTGCCTTCCGCTGATGCTTTGGAGATAAGGTATGCCAAAAGGCAGAGTACAGTGGCAGCGGTTCGACTCCTCCAGTCCACAGCCCACATCGTTGCAGATGTTTGTATCAAAGCAAACGGCTCAAAGAAACAAAGTATAAAGCAAACGTGTGGAGTTTAAAAACTCACTCCTGGCAAACAGCTGCGTTTTTTCCCAGAAGAATGGGATACCCCATGTTTCTGTGGTATCAGCAGCCCTGATTTTATGTAATGGGGAGTTGTGGTTCATCTGCTCCGTCGTGCATCCCAAACCCTTTTTTTTTTTCCTATTGACGGGCCGGGGTCAGGGAGGAAGACGGCCCCATTCCTCTGAGCCTCATGCCCCAGAACAGCACCAACAGGCGGCTTGCTCCACGCTCAGCCCCGCTTAATATCTGTGGAGATCTGTCGCCATCTTGTGGTGAAAATGGTGCATATCTCCGCAATATAATAACAGAATTGATATTTCCTGTCTAATAAAACTTTGAATGGCCTTCCTGTGGAGGTAGATTTGTTTATTGTTCAATAAAAAAATGGTTTCTTCGATCAAAAATATATTTTCAAAAAAAATAACTTCAACAATAAACATTTTCAATCAAAGGAAAAAAGTATGTGAATGCAAAAATATAGACCATCAAAAAATACACTTGAACAAAATTTTTCTTTGAATTATTATTTTTTTTAATCGAAGTAAAGTTTTTTAATTGGATAACAAAGAAACAAATCAACCTTCATACCTTCCATCTTTATTTTCATTTTACTGTGTTGACCTTTCTTTTTAGCAGCTCTATTAGAGTCATATAATAATGGGAGATATTTTTTTTTTCACTTTATATATTATTTCCTTCTATTATAGTAGAGAGAATAGTATATAATAGTAGAGAGAAATATATTTGAAACAATATAGGGATTATTAATTTTTGTTCCACCAGGAAATTTAAGAAGTTAAAAAGAAGAACAAATACCAGCTTATTTTTTTCAACGACTCACCCAGAAAAACATCAACTAAGGAAAAATAGCCTCTGTAGCAATAAAAATGTCTATTAATAAAAAAAAAAAAAAAATATGACTGCCTCATTAAATTCATGTTAGCATGTTTCTGGTCAAAATATAGCACCAAAATTATAGTAAAAATTATGTTAAATAGCGGAGAGATAATTTATTCTAAAATCCTAGAATAGCATTACTTAGATTAGTATCTGTCACTTTTTGAGTTTTCAGTTACATTTTGACTTATGTTTTATTGTGATTCCTTCATTTCCATTTTGTTTTCTGGTTGTATTTGAGTTCTATATTTCTTGTTTACCCTCTGTTGCCTTCTTGTGTCAATCTCCTTCACCTAGTTTCCTTCTAGATTCTTCTGTCCACACCTGCTTCCAATCTGTTGATTACCCCAGTCTTTGATCTGTTTGACATATATACTCCTCCTCCTCAGTTACAGTTTTCTGGTTCCTCGTTGTTACTTTCTCCCTCATGTGTGTTTTCCCTGAGGTCTCCTGGATTTCAGTTTTTTTGTATTTAGTTTGGGGACTTTTGCTTCTGTTGACAGTATCAGTATAGTTAGGCCATGCACTTGTAAGGTTTATTCTTTATACATCATGTGCATTGTTACTTTGTTAGCCAGATAGAGTAGATGGCCTTCCTTCACATTGTAGATGTCACTTTGTGTAAGTGGGTCATCTAAATAGGAAAGCTTTGTCTTTTAAGGATACACAGGATATGAGCATGGATGGCGTGTCAGTTTCTGATACTGACAGCTAAGCATCCACCTGGTGCAACACAGACTCATGAGCTATAAGAAGCAGGAGTTGACCTTGTTTGGGGCTCAATCTTTGCCGGACGCTCGCGGACATGATTTGAGCCCACAGCTGTGCAAGCTCCAAGCATTTTTCTCTGTCCTGTAACGACCTGATCTGGAATAAACTCTGTTACTTTTTTACTCCTGTTTTTAAAGTCTTTTTTTTACATGAGTTTACCCAGTTTGAGTTAAGAGTAGTAAATAACTTGCTCCCAGGAAAATAACCGGAGGGGAAGTCCCAAGGCGCAACTGTCATGGTTGGTTTAGGGATTAAACCCACATGCAGAACACCACTGGAGACGGATAAAAAGTTCAGAGTTTATTGAAAGCTTTCACAAATAACAACATGGACTGGATTCAGGAAACTGGTCCGGGCAGGATTCTCTGGCGTCTGCAGAGACGGATAGTTTGATTAGCCAGTTAAACAGGTGAACTGTTGAGTTTCAGA